CCCCACCCTCCCGGCCCCACTCCGCCCTCCCCTACTCACGCGTGGTCACGCGGCCGGTCAGTGTGGAGGAACCGCCCCCTGGGTGGACACAGGTGACGCGGACGGTGTAGGTGGTGGAGGAGGAGAGAGGGCCCAGGATGGCCCAGGAGGCGTTTCCCGGAGCCTCCACCTGGAGGCGGACAACTCGGGGCTCGAGCATGCGCCTCGGCGCCCTTCCCATCCAGAAGGGCCGCCCAGGCAGGAAGAGACGTGCTGCGGCCGCTCGGGTGGCTTCCAGCCCCGGACCGACTGCCTGGGCCGCCTCTGCCGCAAAGGGTCAGCCCGCGGCGCGGGCGGCACGGAGCCCCCAGGTGCTGGAGGCCGCGCCACCCCTCCCAAGGGCACCCAGTGCCGGCCTGCCCGCCACTTCCTTCCGTGTGTCCGCCTCAGCTAATGGGTCCACCGTGTTAGCGTGTTTGCACGTCCTCTCCCTCATCCGCACCAGACCGGCCCGTCTGCTCTGCCCTCTGGCCCTTGTGCCAAGTCCAGAGGGGATGCTGGGGGGTGAGGCCCACTGCAGGGGGCCTGCTGGCTCCAGGGGCACTGTGTCCCCCGATGCTGTCTCTCCCCCGGTGGCTCTGGGTGCCCCCTCAGGTGCTGGGTCTTCCCTGAATACTTGGTGCCCCTGAATACTGAGGCCTCCTACGGGGACTAGGCCTTCCCACGAGCCCGAAAGGCGCTCCACACCCACTCACCTGCCCCGAGTGGCCACCCTCGCTGGAGACGTAGGTGGCTCTACAGAGGCGAGCAGGCCTCTGGGGGCCCTCCCAGAGCACCCGGGCCGAGTCGTGGCTCACCCTGTCGAAGTCCAGGCGTCTCGGGGGCACCAGGGCTGCTGCGGAGCACAGCACAGCTCAGCCCGTGGGGCCTGGCCGCCTGCAGAGGGCATCTTCAGGGCTCACAGCAGCACTCACGGGTCCTGGCCTGGACGCCCCGGGCCTCGCTGGCCTCCGACCCTCTCAGGCTCTGCACCGAGATGGCATAGTCTCGGCCTGGCTCCAGGCCCTCCAGCAGCACCTCGGGCTGCCCCACCCGAACCTGGAGGACCAGGACAGGTGAGCGCCCTGCCGCAGCTCCCACCCTCTGCTGCCCGCCGCCCCGCCCCCGCTGTACCTCTCGCCCCTCCTCCTCGCCCTTGGGAGGGGTGGGCGAACACCGCACCAGGTACTGAGTGGCCCCGGGCGCGGGCTGCCAGGTGAGGTGGACAGTCTGCGGTGTCACGGTGGCTAAGGTCAGCGTGTGGGGCGGAGACAGTGGCACTGGGGGCAGGGGATGGGACCGATCAGGAGGAACACAACCCCAAGGGGGCAGCTGCCCGCTGACCTCAGTCCCTCTCACAGACTTCAATGAGGGACACAGCTCTCATTGAATTTCTCCTGGGGGGCATGGCTGCAGGCAGACTCAGCGCCCTAGTTAGAAGGGTCCTGAAGAAGCCTGAGGCCCGCACTTCACAGTCAGCAGTGAAACGTCTGGCAACAGAGAGCAGACTGGTGGACGTGGGGATGTGGGGGGGGAGGGTGATGGGGGTGACTGGGGGGGGCCTGGGATGCGGGGAGGAGCTGGTCTTGGGACGGTTAAAATGCTCTAGAATTCACTGCAGTGACGGGTGCACAACTCGCAGGTGGACCAAGAGCCAGAGCGCTGCGCGCCCCATGCAGCAGGTGTCACGACGTGCACCCCATGAAGTGGGTGTTACGACATGCGCCCCACGCTGCAGGTGTCACGACGTGCGCCCTGTGAAGTGGGTGTTACGACATGCGCCCCACGCGGCAGGTGTCACGACGTGCGCCCCGTGAAGTGGGTGTTACAACAGGCACCTGCATGGTGGGTGTCACGACATGCGCCCCACGCGGTGGATGTCACCACCGCACACCCCGCGCTCTACCGGTGGATTTTTGGTACTGAATATACTTCAAGGGGCTCAGAGCAATGCCTGGGAGGCCAGTGGATAGCAGCCCGAGAGGGAGACAGCCCAAATCCTTGAGGGGGCCTGTGGGAACAGTGATGGCCCTAGTTGTGTTTCTGGTAAAAACGTTGATTATTTTTCTGGTGTTCAGAAGAGGACACTGAGGGCCAGAGATGCCCAGTGGCCCTGGCTTGGTCACATAGCGGTTGTCGGACTGCCCATGCCCCCTGGTCCCCCTGGCCCCCTGCTGGTGCTGGCTCCTGAGCCCAGGCCGGCCTCTGCCCCACCTACATGTGGTCGCCAGGCCGCGAAGGCCCTCCCCGACCCCACTGGCGTAGACCGGGAGTACAGAGACCAGGTACTCCGTGCTGGAGGTCAGGTTTCGGAGCTCTGCAGATGAGGTGGGCGCCTCCACCACCACCTGGAACAGAAGGGACGCAGGAGGCCTGGGTGCGGGGCAAGAAAATTCAGGAAACTGGGGAGCCGGCTTGGGGATAGGACGAAGCAGCCCCAGTGCAGGGCCACCTCAACAAGGAGTTACTCCCAGTCAGCCGTCAGGCGATCAAGATGAGCGGAGCTCTCAGCCTCAGAGCCCCGCCCAGCTCCTCCACACACAGCCCAGGTGGGGACCAGGAGCATGGCCCCAGAGGGGGGAAGGCAGCAGACGGAGTCTCACCTCCCTGGGGGCCCCGCCCCTGGAGGGGCGCCACACGATCAGGTACTTGAGGGGCGGCCGTGGGGCTGGAGTCCAGGACAGGCGGACGCTGGAGGAGGTCACCTGGGTCAAGACCAGGCCAGTGGGGGCAGGGAGTGGGACCATCGGATGGGCCTGGACTGGTGTGGCTGGGCAGGGAGAGGCAGCCGTCAGTGACCCAGCGGGCAGCTGGCATTGGTGGGTCCTCAGGCTCCCCCTGGTGGCCACTCCAGGAGGGACAGGAAGGTGACTCCCAGCCCTCCCTGTGATCCTTTATTGTTAGACGTCCCCCAGGTGGGGGCTGCAGGCCCCCTCCAAGCTCCCCAGAGCGGCTGAGTGGGGCCAGGGGCTGCGGCCAGTACAGCCGCCGGCCTTACCTGGGCCCCTCAGCGTCAGTGCTCTGCCCTGGACCCGCTGGCAGACGAGGCGGCTGAGCAGCCCAGCTAGCGTGCCGAGCTGGGGGAAGTCCAGCACGTTGTGCGCGGTGATGTCCAGCGGCCGCGATGCCAGCAGCCTCAGCTCAGCCTCGTCGGCGTTCTTCACCCCTGGGGCCGCGGGCACAGGGTGAGGATGCAGCCCCAGGGCCTCCTATGGCCACTGGCTCTTTGCCAGAGTCACTGTCGGGGGTGGGGGCTGCCCTGAACCCCTCAACAACCCCACCCCAGCCTGCAAGACAGAGGCCACGTCTGCCCACACAGCCTGTGCAGAGCTCACCAACTGCAAAGATGTCAGCGCCCAGGTCCTTGAGGACGCGGGCAGCAGCGCAGGCGTCATCCTGGGACTTGCCATCTGTGACCAGAACCACCACCTTCACCCCCTCTTCACGGGCCCCGGCCACGGGCCGCAGGTTCTGCTCCAGGACGTGGGTCAGGGCGAGGCCTTTGGGTACAGGATGGCGCTGTGGGACGGGCGCCCACGTTCTCCGTGCACCACTTCCGTCCTGGCCCTTCCCCTCACAGGGCCCCCCACGGCCTGGCTCTCACTGCCCAGCTGTCTTGGTCACAGGAGCATGAAGCCCTCAGTGTGGGAAGGGAGAGAAGGGTGCTCAGCGACAGGGGTCTGCCTGCTGGAAACGCCCAGGGGTTGCTTCCAGAGAGGGCCATGCCCACTCCCATGGTGAGGAGGGACGGGGTCAGCAGACCTGGGTGGGGGGTGGCTAGCTGGGGCAGGGCCCACATACCTGTGAACGTGTTACCTCCCCTGTAGTGGAGGCGGGCTATGGCGTCCAGCACCTCCTCCTTGGTGCCAAAAGAATTCAAGTCCCACTCAGTCTGAGGGTCCCCACTGTACTGAGTCAGTCCTGGAGGGAGAGGGGTCACTGCCATGGCCTGAGGGGGTGCACATAGCTACCCACAGGAGCAGGACACACACCCGCCTATGGCGTCGTCAACCTGACCTGGGAAAAGCCCCACTTTTAAGCCAGGAGTCCTCTTGCCAGAGTGTGGGCTAGGGGTGGGCTGGTAGCCAAGGGCCAACACCGGGGCTGGGCTGCCAGAGGCCCTGAGGGGCTGCTTCCTCCTGGTCATGCACAGCCCCCCTGCTGGCATGGGTGGCACCCTGAGCCCGGGTGGGGGGCCAGCACCCACCTACTTGGACCTTGTCAGGGCTGATCTCGAAGGGGGACACGACACTAGCTAGGAAGTCCTTGATGAGCTGGAAGTTCCCATGGCCGATGCTCCAGGACCCGTCCACCAGGAAGATCATGTCCGTGGGCACAGGGGGTGTGCAGCGGAACGGGGCCACTGTGGGGCTGGGGGCTGGGTGGGCCAGCACCACACAGGGCCTCAGGGACAGTCTGACCCCACAGACACCATGAGGTGGCTGTCTTTAGCCCTCTTTTCCAGAAGGGAAGCTGGGGCACAGGCAAGCTGTCCAAGACCACACAGCCAGGGAGTGGTGTGTGAGGACTGGGGCCCAGGCCATCATGCAGGGCAGACAGACAGCCCCAGGCCATATGCCCCCCACCCCACCGCCACCCCTCACTCCTGCTGTGACAACCCTGACGCTTACTGGTCGTCTTTCTCTCTACAGTGGAGACCACGGTGTGGTGCTGTCTCTCGGGGCCTGGGGCTGGCTGTGTAGTGCCCATCCCCTCCACCTGTAAGGGCTGTTCCTTCCTGGGCAGTCCTAGGGGTGGGCACTGATGAGTCAGCCCTCACCTCCTCGATGCAGGCAGGAGCTCCCGAAGGTGGGGCCCAAGTCCACCACACAGGATGACCTGCCATGCCCCCACACCCATGGCCTTGGTCAGAGTGAACCCAGCAGGGTGATGGGCAAGTAAAGCTAGAGAGAAGGTGGTCAGAGATGAGGAAGAACTTCCGGCAACCCGCTGAACAGACTGAACCGCTGTACCCCTCCCCCAGCAACTTGCCCCTCACTCCACTTGGACCCACCAAGGCTGGGAGGGTCGTGGCTCAGGGCCCAGGTGACTCGAGGCTCCGACGTCGACTCATGGTCTAGGCTTCCTACCGGGGAAGGGGTGGGCTCCAGGGCTGCCCCCCATGGCCTCCGGCTGCTCCTGCCCACAGGGTGCCTCTTCAAATCCTTGACTGCAGGGAGAGGTGAGGGGCTGCCAGGCCTCACACTCCAGAGTGTGGGGTGTCAGGGTGGCCTGTGCCTCCCGGTGGGGGGTCACCCAGTCCCTGGGAGGCAGGCAGGGGAGGCTGCTGCTGCGTGGCCGGCTGGGACTTGCCCCCAGCCTGGAGCTGTGGGGGCTGCAGGGCTGGGATTGGGTCTGGAAGGCGCTGGACTTACTCACAAACTCCCTCTGGGCCAGCAGGACACGGCCGGAGTCAGAGAGCAGGAATATGTGCAAAGTGTACTCCTTGGAGGGGCTCAGACCCCCCACCGTAGCCTTGGCGGTCTTGGTGGTCAGCATCACCTCCAGCTCTGAGTCCCCTGGGGAGGTGGAGAGCTGGTGGGTGAGCGTGGGTCTGGGGGGTGAGGTCCCAGGGTCCTCTCTCCAGCTCCTCCCCTTGGAGCCCAGGGAGAGGAGGGGCCGGCCTTTACTCCCCTCCAGTGGGTCTGATGTATGGCGGTGGCACATACCCTGGGTCTTGAGTCGAGAGAGAGTTATTCTGTGGCAGCAGATAGTATGTCCTTTGCAAAACTCCCCAGAGGAGTTTGTAACATGATGAGAATCCATACACTCTGGAGGTACCCAGCTGGGCAGCTGGGACTCCACCAGGGTGTGTGGGTGGAGACGGGGGCCCACCTGACAAGGGCTCTGTGACCCCACGAGGCAGAGGCAGGCTGGGTTCCAAAGGGGATGGCTTGTCTCTTTCTCAAGAGGAAGTGCCTTGAGCTAAAGCCAAGAGACGCAGTCAGACTGAAGGAGGCCCCTGGGGGTCGGACACAGAGGAAGACGCCAGAGAAGGCTGTGGCCCTCAGAGGGAGAAGAAAGCAGACCCGTCCGTCTTGAGCCTTGGTCCTTGTGCCCTACTCCACCCAGCTGCTCCCAGGGACTCGGGGAGGCTCAGGGAGGCAAACACAGAGACTGCCACCAACTGTGTCCTCTCCACTGTTGGTCACTGATGGTCACGGAGCCTGGTGTGCAGCTGGCCCCACCCTAAGCACCTCACGGGAGGCCATCTGTGTGATCATCCAGCCAGTTACCCCATTTTACAGACGAGAAAAGTGCAGCACTAAGGACCAAGCCGCAATGCTACTTGCTGTAGCATCAGAATTTAACCCAGGCTCTCCAAGGGGTGCAGGCCGTGGGGAACAGATAGAGGGATTCTCTCTCACTCATGCTTTCATACACACACTCACACACACAGATGTTCACACCCACACTCTTCACATCCATGATCTCTCACATACTCACACATCAACATATTACCACACTCTCACACATGGTCTCACATGCATGCACATATCCACACACATGTACACTTACTCTCACACACATTTACATATCACACACACTATTATACTACAGACACACACAGTCATGCTAGCTGCCTCACACATTCACTCATACACTCACATATTCACACATATATACACATTCACACACATAGTCACACACACACTCTTACACACATACACATTCATGCTCTCAGGCATACATTCACACACACAGTCACTCCCACATTCATTCCCAATCACACTCACACTCATTCACACAGTCACACACACACATGCACAGACACATTCAGTCTTACACATTCTCATGCACATTCACGTACACACACATTCACTCACACTCAGTTACACACAGTCTCATACACATTCACACACTCATATTTACATTCATTTCACACACACTCACACTCATTCACATGCACACACAAACTTACACACACTGATACATTCACAGGCACGTACACACACATTCACTCATGCTCATACACTCACATTCTCACACACAGTCACACAGTCACACCATACACTCACAGTCACACAGTCACGCACACATTTACACTCTTACTCACATACACATATGCTGCCATACTTCCTGCCTCATACCACATCCCACCCCAGACGTCCCCAAGTGGACTGGCCCCGAGAACTCTGGGTTCCTGGAGATAGCATCAATACTGTCCACATCTCACTCCTCAAAGCCTGCCATGTCCATCTTCAATTCCCAGCATGACCAGCAGTATTCCCTGCTGTCTGCCCAGCCCCTCCACCCTGCCTCTGCCCCTCCGCTCCGTCTGCTCCGCGCTGGTCTCACACAGCCCAAGCATCAGCACAAGGATAGGGTCCTGGTCCTGCACAGCTCACGTGCTCTTACGGCTCATGGATTTGGGAAGGAAGCCCACTGTTTGTCAAAAGAATGACGGAAGTGCACAAGCAGGCAGCTTCAGTGCATCCGTGCGACAAGCACTCGCTGAGGGCACCTTGTGCTGTCTCTGCTAGACTTTTATGACCCAGAAAACAGCTGTGCAGGGCCCTTGCCCGTTCGCCCGCACACATACGGCATGGAATGGCAGCAGCCCGGTTTGTGCTTCCGGGAACGGCAGGCTAGGCCACCCTCCTGCTGAGAACAGTGAGGAAAGCTGGATGGACAAACTATTTTTGAGAATACGCGTGAAACTGCTGGCAGGCCTGTAAAATGATACAACCGCTGTGGAAAACAGTATGGTGATTCCTTACAAAGCTGGAATTAGAAATATCATTTGACCCCAAAATCCCATTACTAGGTACATATCCTAAAGAAGTGAGAGCCAAGACAAGAACAGATACATGGACGCTCATGTTCATCACAGCACCACTTACAACAGCCAAAAGATGGAAACAACCTGCGTGCCTATCAACAGAAGAATGGATAACCAAACTGTGGTACCAGAACAATCATGGGAGAATAGAAGGGCTTGTATGCACAGGGAGACAGCTCAGGGGGCAGGAGTGCATGGGAGGGAAGGACACAGGGAAGAGCTAACTATGGGAAGAAAGTGGGAGGGGAGCTGTTGCATTGTGGGAAATTGTAGTCAATGTCATGAGATAAAGTGTATGTGAGCTGCTGTATGCAAAGTGAATTTTGCCTGTAAACTTTCACCCAAATCACAATTTAAAAAAAAAAAAAAAAGCCGAGAGAGAGAGAGGGGGGGGGGAAGGAGAGAGAGAGAGAGGGGGAGATAGGTTGCATCTAAAAGAGTGACAATTGGGCTGACAGTGAATTCTCAGGAGAAAAAGGGAAGCGGCCAGAAGACAGTAGGAAGATGCTGTGCAGTGAGCCACTCCTCCCTTCTGTGATGGATTGTAAAGCCTAGTCTCCTGCCTGTTTGGGGTGGGACGCAGCTGGAGTCCCGCCTGCTGGGGGGCGGGACCCCTCACCACCCTCACCCTCCGCTCTGGGAGAGTCCTTGCTCTCACTCCTGGACCCGAGATAGCAGCGGCCATCTGACCCACCGATTGGGGTTCACCACACCCTGCAACCACGTGCAGACCTACCCACAGACCAGGGACTTGCCAGCCTCCCAGCCTCCACCACCACCACGTGAGCCACTTCCTTGGCAGTCTGTGAGTCTGTGAGATGTTACAGTGAACTACAGAACCCTAAGACAGAAGGCAGAGTACTGAGGGGAAGAGGAGTTGATGTCAGAGATGATGGAGGGGCACGGCAGTGTGGAAAAGTTGGACGTTTGGGACCTCTTTAACCTCCACCTCATGGGGACCATTGGGCTGATCTTTCTAAAAGAAATGATTCAAGCAAAAGATGTCTTCAAAGTGCTGAAGGAAAGTAAGTGCCTAACAAAAATTCTACACATGGCAAACCTTTCTCAATACATGCGGGACCAATGTCCCATGAACAAAATAAACATTGATCCCTATCTCACACCATATCCAGAAATTAATTCCAGATGGATCATAAACCTTGTATGAAAGTTAAAATAATAAAAGTTGTATAAATAATCGGAAAATAATATCTTCATGATTTGTAGGTGGACATAAATGCCAGGCAGGACACAAAGGCTTTAGCCTTAAAAGAAAAATATTACTTAGCTAGTTGGACTGGCTGCTCATATCCAGACTTTATAAAGAAACTAGAAAGGACAAGGGGAGATCTTCCCCCGAGCAGACAGAGAGGGCATGGCACTGCTGATGCCTTGAGTTGGGACTCCTAGCCTCCAATACTAGGAAATAACAAATGTCTGTTCTTTAAGACTACCGACTTTGTGGTGTTTCGTTATGTCGGCCACAGGAAACTAAGACAGATGTTTTCCACTGGCACTGAATGTGCGTAGCCTGTGCCCTGGCACTCCTGTGTTTATGCCCCACAAGAATGCATGCTTGTGGACACTAGAAGGCAGCCATGAGGGGTTCACCACAGCCCCATTCACAAGACCCCAACAGGAGCCACCCAAATACCCATCGACAGTGGAATGAGTCCGCCACTGTGGCATGTTCCCGCGTGGAACATTTCACACAACACACACCACCCTTACCAGGCATGAAACAAAATGCTGACCCAAACAAGTGCCTAGAAAGAGCACATGCCATGATCCTACTGAAGCCATGTTTGGAACAGGCAAAGCCTATCTGTGGTGTTTGAAGTTGAGAAGGTGGTTATGGTTGAGAGCTGAGGGGTCAAAGACTCGGGGGGTTCTGACTGGCGTCTGGTTCATGGATGCATCTCTTTTTCCTCCTGGGGGTGACTTCACGGATGCCTGCACTTTGGGCTGATGCACACCTACATTAGGAAAGGAAGAAAACACCAAATGGATGTCAGAAGAGACTGTGAAACTTGCTCTTGAATGGGCAACAGCTAGAGCAAATGGAAGAAATGACAAGATAAAAGCTGAACAGAAGATTTCAAAGAGTGGCTCGAGAAGACAAAGTAAAACATTATAATGAAATGTGCAAAGACCTGGAGTTAGAAAATCAAAAAGGAAGAACATGTGCTCAGCATCTCTCAAACTGAAAGAACTAAAAATTCAAGACTCAAGTTGCAACACTGAAGGATTCTATGGCAAAATATTGAACAATCCAGGAAGCATCAAAAGAAGATGGAGAGAATACACAGAGTCACTATACCAAAAGAATTGGTCAATGTTCATCTATTGATCAAGAACCGATGGAATTGAAGGAAGAAGTCCAAGCTGCACTGAAGAAATTGGTGAAAAACAAGGCTCCAGGAATTGACAGAATACCCTTGGAGATGTTTCAACAAACAGATGCCACGCTGGAGGCACTCACTCATCTATGCCAAGAAATTTGGAAGACAGTTACCTGGCTATCTGACTGGGAGAGATCCATATCTGTGCCCATTCAAAAAAAAAAAAAGTGATCTAAAAAACTGCAGAAATTATCAAAATATCATTAATACCACACACAAGGAAGATTTTGCTAAAGGTAATACAAAAACTGTTATAGTTGAACATAAACACGGAACTTCCAGAAATTCACACAGGATTCAGAAGAGGTAATATGGAATGAAGGGTATCATGTCAGATGGATCTTGGCTGAAAGCAGGGATACCAGAAACACAGAATGCCTGTGTTTCACTGACCATGCAAAGGCATTCCACTGTGTGCATCATAATAAATTATGGATAATATTTCAAAGAATGGGAATTCCTGAAGAACCTGTACATAGACCAAGAAGCAGTCATTGGAATAGAAGGGGATACTGCATGGTTTAAAATCAGGAAGGGTGTGTGTCAGGGTTGTATCCTTTCACTATACTTATTCAATCTGTCTGCTGAACAAATATTCCAAGTAGCTGGACTATATGAAGAAGAACACAGCATCAAGATCAGAGGAAGACTCATTAACAATCTGCAATATGCAGAGGACACAGCCTTGCTTGCTGAAAGTGAGGATGACTTGAAGACTACAGTCTGCAATATAGGCTACACCTCCACATGATGTGAGACACAGAAAACAAAAGTCCTCACAACTGGATTGGTAAGCAGCATCACAATAAATGGAGAGAAGATTAAAGTTGTCAAAGATTTCATTTTACCTGGATCCACAATCAACATCCATGGAAGCAGCGTCAAGAAATCAGATGACACACTGCATGCAAATCTGCTGGAAAGAGCCCTTTAAAACGTTAAGGAGCAAAGATGTCACTTTGAAGACTAAGGGGCGCCTAATGCAGGCCCAGCCCTTTCAGTCTCCGCATGTGCATGTGAAAGCAGGGCAACGAATAAGAAAGAAAAGATCGATGAAGAGTTGACGCCTTTGACTTGTGTTGGTGAAGAACACTGGAAGTCCCATGGGCTGCCTCCCAGAAGAACGAACTAATCGGTCCTGGAAGAAGTGCAGCCGGAAAGCTTACAAGCACAAATGGCCAGACTTCCCCTCACCCAGTTTGGTCGTGTTGTCAGCAGGAACCAGTCCTTGGGCAAGGATACCATTCTTGGTAAAATAGGGGTCAACAAAAAAGGGGAAGACCCTCAATGAGATGGACTGACACGGTGGCTGCAACGATGGGCTCAGGTACAGCAAGGACCGTGAGGCTAGTGCAGACCAGGAGTGTTTCGTTCTGTTGCACATGGGGTCGCTAGGAATCAAAGCCAACTCGATGGCACCTGACAACATAGTTAGATTTCGTGCACTTTTCAATATGTGTGAAGTCTCCATTTTCAAAACACTTTTTTAAAAAAATCAGCAGCTGTTGCCATGCTGGAATGTTCTATGGGCCAGGCTCCTCTGGGCAACCCCCCGGGCCCCCAGTAAAGGGCTGCTGTTGTGAGAATCTGTGCTTTTGCCTAGCCTTCACTGGGATCAGAAACCTGGCCTCTCCCACCCTCCTGGGCTCACATCCCCGTGCGGGAAGGATCCCTGGTTTCCTTTGAAATAGCAGCGAATGGGCTGTTCCCAGTGTTCCCAGTGGAGCTGGGCAGGGAGAGGACAGGGAAGTGAGGAGACTGTGCCCGTGCTGGGTGTCCCAAAGGCACCTGCAGCAGCTGGGGGCTTAGGGAGGGTGTGAAGGGCTTACCTGCCATGGGCTTCACTTGCACCAGGTAGCCAAGGCCATTGGCCTCCACCTCCTTCCACTTCATCTGCAGCCGGTCCTCGGACAGCACAGTCAGCCGCAGGCCCCTCGCTGCAGAGACGGGATGGGCTGTCTGGCTGCTGCCTGGTGCCGAGCCGGCCTCTTCCCACCAACCAGCTGTGTGCCACTGGGGTACCCCACCATGCCTGCTGGCGTCTGAAGGGACCCGGACCCACTGAAGAGGGTGGTGTCAGAACAGGAGGCACCCCCTGCCCTCCTAGGGGTCTGAGGGTGACAGAGGGGCTTCAGTGGGAGGCCTGCCTCAGCATGGAGGCCCCGCCCAGCTCCCCTGGGAGTGTTGTGGGTGTGGGGGATGGGGTGGCAGTGATGGCACCAGACCCTGGGCCAATCTGGCAGCTGCCACCCCCGGAAACACCCCAAGGTCTATGCAGCTGCAGAAGCCCTCCCAGCCCGGCAGCAAGGTCACTGCCCAGCCACACACCCCAGGGAGGGAAGCGAGTGCATGTGTGTTGTGTGTATGTGTGTGCACTAGTGAGTGCTTTGTGTATGGCCTCGCCCCAGCAGGAGCCCAACCCAGGGCGGGAGCGTGGGTGCCCCCGGGGGTGGAGGAGGGAGCAGCCTGAGCCCGGGGCACAGCTGACCCTGGGGACTCGCCTGGAAGAGGCTCAGAGCTGGGGCCTCTCGGGAAGCTTCCGGAGGCTGTGAGGGCAGCGGCTATTTTTGGAGATAGGGATCGAGGGGCTTCCACAGAGGCCCCCAGTGGCTGGGGTACCCGGGTTGCACAATGGCGGGATTCAGCCTGCCGGGTGGCCCTGGGCTCCGCAAGCTGGGGCTGAAAGGCTGGAGTGTCTTGGGGGGTGAGGGGCCGTGAAAAGCCAGCTGCACGCAGGGCTGCTGCTGCCCATGAAAGGCTGGCTGTTTGGGGAGGCCCTGCTGGGCCCCCGTCTGGGGCCTTGGGGTCTCGGGGCCGTGGCCAGACAGCAGGAAAGGCCCCTCCAGCAACGTCCCAGACTCTGACTGAAAGCACTCCACTTCCTGTCCACACCCGTCAGGCCTTCACCGCCCTTGCCCACCCTCCATTTGACACAGGTTCCCCTTTGGGCCCAGGCCCACACCTTGACAGAGCCTGGAGCTCTGTCCGCTGTGTCCTGGACTGAGCAGTCATGGCCTTGACTGAACACAGGGCCCTGCGAAGCATCGAGGGACCACTCTGACCAGCACCCCACCATCCAGCAGTCCTCCCACCTGGGCCCACTCGGGGCCCCCTCAGCCAAGGAAGCAGAAAGCCATCCTGTGACCATTATCAGCCAGTATGCAAGATCAAACCCAGGAGGGCCAAAACGGACAGACAGACAGACTGTTGCAGGATGCAAACAGCCTTAAGCAGGAGCTGAGGTGGTCGGACAGCTCCTCCATGGGTAGCGACAGGAAGGGACACTCGCTATGGGAAGCGTGAGTCACCCCAGAATGCAACAGCCTGGGGAAGTAGCCCAACACATGCAAAGTCAGGGCTGACCAGGAAGGAGCTGCTCGGTGGGGCGGGCCGAGAGGAAGGGGCCGGTCACCAGCGTCCACACAGGTCCCCTGAAGGCCCAGGTGGAGGTGCCCGAAGCCAGAGGTCAAGGGGTGCGTGTGTGCGGAAGGTGCTAGAAGCAGCAGCTGACCCACCTTCCCTGGGGGCGGGAGAGCTACTTTTGGAGCCAGATTCGGACTGTTTGAGATTTGTGTGGGGGGTTAGTTAGATGATTAAAACAAACATCAATATGGCGGAATCGTGTGCACAGTGTGTTAGTAACTGTCTCGACTCAGAAGCCAGGCAGGGGTGAGAGACGGCGAGAACCAGCACTACGTGGTGGTGGGGGGGACGCACCAGTCCCCATCTGTCTGTTCTGTTCTCTTGTCCTTACTACCGAAAGGCTTAGTTAAGCAGGGACCCAGCTGAAGACAAAGGCCATCGCGTTAGCAAAGGGAAGGTGGAGGGTGGCGGAAGCCTGTCCCTGTGGTGAGGCCTCATCCAGCCAGGCTGATTGGGTGGACACTGCCTGGGAGAGGCTCTTCGTGGTGGGCCACCCAGGTCCCTGGCAGCATGCCTCAGGTTCTTACCTTGGCCCTGCCCGGCCCCCAGGGCAGCCCCCAGCCACAGACAGAGGCAGGTGCATAGGTTCATGGCCATGTGACCTGCAGGGCAGGGTAGGCCATTAGCCACTACACCCCCACCCCAGCCGCACTGGCCCCCACCAAACACCACTGTCTAGAAGACACGGCCCCCACAGCCTTCCTCACGAACCCCAGTGCTGTGGATGCCCTACCTGCTCACAGCTGGGGGCTTGGGGTCTGCCAAGAGGGCTGGGATCCCCGTCCCCGTGCAGTTGACCCCATGGAGGGGGGCTGGGGTCTCACAGCCCAGACTCTGAAACTCTGACCCTACCTTGGAGGCTCTAGGAGGGTCTGAAAGACCACCAGGTGGTCCCGGAGCCTCCAGGGTCCCCCTTCCTGGGCCCTGAGAGACCACCCCACCCTTCCTGTGTGTGCTCAGGAGCACCCCCCAGGAGCCAACCCTCCCTGTAGGGGAGACTCCAGCCCACTGGGGGCGGCAATGCTGGAGAGGCTCACCGGGAGGGGGACCCTGTTCAGAAGCAGCCCTGAGCCCTCTCCCAGCTCCTGGCCCTCCCGACCCACCCAGAGACCTGGCCTGACAGGTCAGGGCCAAGTTCACAAGCTCTCCATGCCACACCGTCCTTCTCACACCCCCACACCTCAGGTCTCCTGGGACCCCTAGAAGGTCAATGGGCAGCCCAGGGTGGCCACCCCACTCCCCTGTCCACCCAGCTCCTCTGTGCCCCCCGGCCCCCACCACCAGTTCCCATCATGCCCCCACCCTATCCTCCCCCATTCCTGTCCACCCCATCCCCCCATCTCCTCTGGTCCCCATTCCTCCCAGTCGCCATCCCCCTCACCCCCAGTCTCTGTCTCTCTCTTTCCCCATCTCCCTCAGTCCCCTGTGCCCCCGAGTCCCCATCTGCCCACTCCCTAGTCCCCAGCCTATGTAAGAGACCATTTCCCACCAGAGGGTCAAGGGCACCGTGAGTCACAGACCTGCTGAGCACCCCCTCCTCCTCCGCGTGGATGGGCCGCTCAGTCCAGCTTTGGCCACAGGGCGGCCAGGCTTTATGTGAGGATGCGTCACTGTCCTCGCCCACCCCTTGGCCGCCTCCCTGCCCGCCCCCACAGGCCCAGCCCTTCCTGAGGGAAACAGAGGCCCCAGGGCCCGCCCATCACACAGTGGGGGGCGGGGGGGGGAAGGCAGGGGCCACGGCCCTGTGGAGCGCCAGCACTGCCCCGGCATGGGCCTTGTCCTGAGGGGCTCATGAAGGCGTCTGAGTGGTGCAGGTGGTCTTGCACTCAGCCAGTGAGTGCCCGCTGGAAACCTCCCATTGCACTGCACAGGACCCAGGCCTGGCGAGTGGCTTTCGGACACAGACGACACAGCTCTGACACCTCACCAACGTGGGCCCACAGGAGGCAACCCAGCCACGGGCTGAGGCAAGGGGTCCAGGCAGGTCCCCCCGGGCCTGCCTTGTCCGGATCCCTGGCCACCACTGGGCCTCTGGGTCCACAGGGTCTCCTGCTACTGGGGGCCAGGCACCATGCAGGCCCTGGGAGAGCCTTGGCTCACCCCTCCCTCCTCCAGCAACAACCCAGGGAGGGGCTGAATGACCCTGAACCTCAGTGCTCAGCCCTTCCTGGAACCCAGTCCTGCACCACCCACTCCTCCAGCACTGCCCACTCAGCCCATGGCCCTGAGCTTGGCCCCTCCACGTGACACATGCTACCAGATGGTCAGGAGGCGGGGCTACCTGACCTGGGAACACTTTGGGGGTTGCAGAAGACTGCGGGCTACAGCGGCCCCCTGACAGGACCCCCTTGTTGGTTGGGCTGCACTGGGGGCAGATGGGGCACTCAGTCTGTCCCCAGGACCATGGATCCAGGAGCAGTGGGTCACGCACATGATGGCTGGGCCAGTAGGGGGTTCATGTCCACATAGCAGGGCCCAGGCTGTCCACGGTGTCCCTTTCTCTGTTCTCTGAACCCGCTCACCACCCGTTCAGAGCCCACACAGCCACGGTCTCCTCCAGAGTACGTTCTGCGGCTGGGGAAGGTCACACGGAGCTCACCCAAGGCGACAAATGTGCACTCTCACCTGGGGTCCCGCCCCACCTGCTCCCCAAGAGCTCCCAAACCTAAGACACCCACCCTTTGCAGAGGGGCCGTGGCCCCAGCCCCTGCCTGCTCTGGGCTTAGCTTCCGGAGGCAGGTGTTTCGAGGGGGTGGGTCTCCAAATCTAGGGGTCTTCAGAGGCCTTAGTTGTAGACTGAGCTGTAGGAGGCTGGGAGGGGCCAGGGGGCCAGGCCAGGTGGTCCACAGCAATAGCCTGGGAGACAGTGAGGTCCAGCCACCCCCACTGTCCATGGACCCCAGCTGGATGAGACGGCAGAGGTGTCCACCTGCCCTGGAGAAGTCAGGGGAGGGGCCCTCAAGCCTCAAATCTGTTGCCTTTGGATCTACTGTCAACCTTTGGACCCACTGCCCTGAAGACCCAGAGCAAAGGAAGCTTGATGACTTGCTGAGGCGTGGGGCCACAGAGCCTGAAACCCCTCAGGCTCTCTGCCAGCTGCAATGTCAGATCCAGTGAGGATGGGCCCAGGGGCTTGGGTGAGCCAGCCAGACCTGCACCATGGCCAGCAGAGAACACACAGACCAGGCGGCCCTGGACAGGTCCCTTGGCTGCCCAGGGTCAGGCCCAGGCACAGGTGTGTGTGTGTGTTCATGGGGGGCAGGACCTACTGGTCAGTCCTTAACACCCCTGGCCTAACTGGACCATAGCCTTGCGAGGCTGGGTACCTTGTCTGGTTCTGTACCTGTCCCCTGCACACAGGAGGCACCCCAGTCCCTCAGGAGACCGCTGGTGTTGCACCCACTTGCATGAAGATTGTGGCGCTGACGGGGCAGGTGACCTGCCTAGGCAGACTTCCCGCAACCCTGACTTTCCCCTCCCCAGCCCTGGGGTACATCTCCTATCATTGGCACCAGGTGTTTGTGGAGAAGCTTCAAGTCCTTGGGAGAGGTGGCCCCACCCACAGCAAGCCAGGAGACACTGAGCAGGGCAGAAGGCTGTGTGACGAGCCCCCGCCTCCACGGGCCCGTGGGCTCTGTCAGCCAGCACTGCACCCGCTGCCCCGACCCCCAAGGCTGTACACCCCTTGCTGGATCACCCTGTGCTGGCTTCCCGGAGGGCCTGACTCCATGTGGGCTACAGCCTGGACTCCCCGTGAGGCCCCATGATCCAGCTCAGGACTGTGGGTGCAGATGAGGGCGACATGGGCTCATGACACCCATACCACCCAGCACGCCACTGCTCCCGGGGGGTGGGGGACCCAGCCTGTGCCCCCACACGCAGCCCAGCGTGAGGACGCCTTTCAGAACCGACTCCATGTTAATCTGTGGTTTGTTGTCACAGTGACCGACACCACTCACAGAGCAGGATCTGCCTGGGACAGTCGGCAGAGCCGAAGCACCTCTTATCTGCGCCTGGGGGCATCTCGGACCACCACATCCCAGCGTTCCTGAGTCAGGTCTACAGAATGCCCTGCACTGTCAAGGTGAGTGCTCGCAAGCCTGCCTGGGGGGCCAGGTTTAAAGCCCTGCTCTGACCCCTGGGACATGCATGACAACTGATGCTTTCAGCCTGTCAGGTTTTTCAGGAAGCTGCTTTACACGCTAGCACCTGGCGGGCACCTGTGTAACTGTGTGAATGTGAAAAAATGGCCCTCACCCCACCAATTCTACCATAAAGTCCACTTGGGACATATGTGTCCCACATTATTGTAGCAAAATCACATTGCCTCAAAAAAAAGAAAAAAGTTTTCCCTTGATTTCAGCATGTCTCCAGTTGCTGAAAACATGGCATCAACAAATACTTCAAAGCAGAAAATAACTGGGTCAGAAAAGGGTCAACATGCAGGGCATTTGGGGTCAAAGGGGACCCTACACATCTCCTGAGGGTCTCTGACTGGGTGTTAACAATGCTGCTCCTTGGGACAGATGAGGTGGTTCTTTCACATAAACATGCTGACTACTGAGGGGGTCCGTTCAGGAACTGGACCTAGACCAACAGCAGCATTCACATTCAAGGTCAAGGGCAGAGGAGCCCAGCAGACATTCCTGAACTTGGGGGCTGAAATTGGTATCCTGCAGACACTCCCTCTGACAAACGAGGCTCTGGTTTGCAGCGCAGGGCCCAACACTGCCCACATGGCCAGGACGTGGGCTCCACTCGTCAGAAAAACCGGATGGGCTCAGCTAGCCAGCACCACGTGCTCAGCCTCAGCTGTCCTCAGGGCCCCCAGCCCCAGCTCTGTGAGACCCTCTCATATGCCTGGCTCCCCGTGTGCTCCGTGCCAACACTCGTCCTGGGCGGACAGACTGTGAACAGCATGTCAGTTCTCCATCACCTGACAGCATCCTGTCCCCACCAGCCTGACTGTGGCCACTCACACCCCATGCTGCAGCTGTGGCCACAAGCCCCCAAGATGCTCAGAGTTGGTGACAACATGAAGGACAAGGGCCGGGCTACCTGCTCCACTCCTGTCAGGGACAGCTCAGGAACACTCACAGGAGATGTGTGGGGTCTGCCCACCCCGTGCTCACCTCCATGGTGTGCTGCAAGGGCAGATCTCTGACCCTGGCCCACCCTGACTGTGGAGGACCAGCTCCCAGGAGGCTTCCCAAAGAGGACGCTATAGCTCTGAGGCTGAGGACACCACGGCAGGACCCAGCTGCACGGGCACAAGCCGCAGAGGTATGTGTGGGGGAGCAGACACCCAGGACACTGTGGCAGAACCCGCACATGGCTGCAGGGGTGCAGGCAGGATGACGACACACTCTAGCAGGACCGGGCTACAGGGGTGTGGGCAGGGTGAGCAGCACCCCAGGACACTGCAGCAGGACCTGCAGACAGCTGCAGGGGTGCGGCGGGACGAGGACACAACCCAAGACACCACGGCAGAGCCAGGGTACAGGGGTGCAGGCGGGACGAGGACACACCCCATCAGGATGAGGCTGGAGAGGTGCAGGCGGGACGAGGACACAACCCAAGACACCGCAGCAGAACCAGGGTGCAGGGGTGCGGGCGGGACGAGGATACAATCCAAGACACCGTGGTAGAACCAGGTGCAGGAGTGCAGGCAGGACAAGGACACACCCCATCAGGACGGGACTGGAGGGGTGTGGGCGGGCCGAGGACACACCCCAGAACACCGTGGCAGGACCCGCGCACAGCCACGGGGGTGCAGGTGGGCCGAGGACATCGTGGCAGGACCCAGCACACGGGCCGCAGGCAAGCCCACACACCCCAGGGCTGGATGGGGGCAGGCTGCAGCGTGGGGAGCACATGGCACAGAATAGGGAGTGTGCGTCACACAGACCATGAGACGTGTGCAGCGTGTGGTATGCTGGGGAACACGCAGCTGTCACTGCTGGCACGAGACATGGCGTCACCAGCATCATGCTGGCAGCCGGGTCTGTGCTCCGTGTCACGCATGTAGTTAACACTGTTGCCATAGGCAAGGGGACAGCCATCCTGTGAGGCAACGTTTGGAAAGCCCCCTGCAGCAGTGGACAGGAGTCGCTGCAGACAGTGGGGGACAGGCCCAGCCAAGCGAGCCGACTACTGCGCAGGCACGGGCTGGGTGGCAGCTGAGAGCAGGTGCTGCCCGCAGAGCTGGCGGACGTAGGCAGCCTGCCCACCCAGTGAGCCTCTGGGGGGACAAGCAGAAAGCTGCCCAGTCTCCACTGACCTCCTCCAGGGGAGAGTAAGCTGAGCCAGCCCCCATCCTTTCTGACTCCTAGGGCCCATGTGACAGGATTGTGCCAGTCCTGGACGAGGATGGGGGGACCCCTGCACAGAGCAAGAGTAGTGGGGGCCCTCACTCCCCAACCGCCCAGGGCACAGAGCACACACCACAGACAACTTGAGCAGAAAGACAGGGTGGGGACCAGCGTGTGGTCTGTGAGGTCGACAGGGGCAGGGAGGAGGCATAAGGGCTGCACATCAGAGACTGGCTACCAAAGACAGGAGGACGGTTCATGGCAGTGCGGGCTCAGCTTGGCTTTGGGGCTGCCACCCTGGAGCTTTCCTTTAAGCAGCAGACGAGCTCAGACTTTAGCATTGGGAGAGGCGTCCCCCACACAGCATCCCGCAGGCCGGCAGCACCGCTCACCCTGCGGCCCTGTCCTCACACGGCGTCCCACAGGCCGACAGCACCGCTCACCCTCCGGCCCTGTCCCCACACGGCGTCCCACAGGCCGACAGCACCGCTCACCCTCC